GAAACGCAGAGGGCAAGGGAGCAAATTATAATGGTAGTAAGGAAGGGTTTGTGTCTCTGATATGAGGACTCTGACGTCGGAGGCATGCAGTAATGTTTGTTGCATAGAAATCCTCAGTGGTGGCCAACACTCCGCAATACATTACTTGAGAAGAAATGCTTGAACTTGTTGGTGTTAGTCAGGGCTGCTCAGTGCATGACATTAGAAAAACTCTAAATGCATATCACTGCAATACTAATTATGATAATAGTAACAACAAGATGAGTGTTGTTAGACCACTGAAGAGTATGATGCGTAACTATCAATTGAGGCTTATTTTTTAATCCAAACAGAAATCAAAAAGATGGTGCTTGGCTATCCCTTTCAAATTTTAGAAGTGGTTATTACTAAGATTTCTTGAAGCAAAATATACCAAAGGAATTTCCTTATTCTTTCTCTCTTCGTAATTCTCCCAATCCTCAAGGCTTTCCAGTGTGCTTAAAAACACTCCCACACCACATACCCATCTCCCACTTCTTTCTCCCCTTACCTCCCAATAAAACAGCCCTCTGGGGGGGTCGCTTTTAAACACTATGATGCAAAGTGTTTATAATAAATAGCCAGAGGTGTCTCTCTTCTTAGGGAGTAAGAAAACATTGAAATTATAACTGCCATGTCTTCCCCTGGCCCCAACATTCTGGGACATTCATTGCTATGCATAACAAGTGAATCAGTTCTAGCTAGAAGGATGGCATTAGGCAGCACACTAATGTACCACAGCCTTTACAGCCATGCTTCAAATTCTCCACGTGCGTGTCTCCAAATTTCGCTCCAGTGTAAACCTTATCTTTGCTCCAGCTGAGCAGCCATACTGTTATTACAACGTCTGACAGTTAATCACGAAGTTAAGCCAGTCGTAGGAGGAGGTGTAGAGGATTATAATTTACTTGCTCCAAGAAGGTGCCAAGGAGGGGCCCAGCATCACGCAGGCACCAGAGAAAAAGCACATATTTAGTGGCACATTTAGGAACTTTTCTCAATGGGGATAGAAGAATACTTGATCAGACTACATACTATTTCACTCAAACAATAATGCTGAACTGGAAGGCTTAAAAAAAAACAGTGAAATAATTAAAGAGGAACTTTAATTCCTTCAAGCTGGAATTCTTTCAAACTAGTATTTGAAAGTCCTCTGAAATCTAGAAACCTGCACTTCTAGGTCTGATCTCGAGGAGTGCTCTTTTCCACCCAGTTATCTTACTCTTGGTGTACACAATTTGCTTCTCTCTCAACTTTAGGGAGACAGAACTGGAGTTTCTCAAGAGGAATCTTACCAAAAAACTAAGAAATAAGCAAGAAGAAAGAAAAAAAAAACTGTAGAATTGAATGTCAATAGGGTACGTGTGCACGTGTATATACATATGTTTACTACTTACCATATACTACATATATGTGTGTATAAATATATATGCAACACTATGTGTGAAGCATTAGGCTAAAAATGTGCACACATTATCTTTTTTCATTCAACAAATATGGAGTTTAACTATTGTTATAAGCCTGGAGAAACAGCATTGTTTCTGATGGGGGAGACTGAAAATTCTAAAGTAAACTAATCAATGTTTTGAATGAAAATACAGTAGAGTGACTGGGGTGTTACTTTAGATAGTGTGGTCAGCAAAGGCCTCTATGAGAAGTGACACGAGGCTGAGACCTGCATGACGCGAGGGGAGGGTACAAGACAGGTAGATGGGGGATAAGGAACAAATGTCAGGCTTAGTCCTATAGGACAGGTCATATCATCATACCCACTTTACATATGAAAAAACTTGGACTCACAGGGAAACAAAGTGACTTTGAGATTCTACAGCTAGGAAGTGGCATAACCACCCATACCTCAGATCGGCTGTTCTACTTAAATTATTATTTTCTCCTCAATAGACTTTTCCAAACTCCTCTCCAGGCTGCTCCCCTTCCATTGCTCTGTCATTTTCTACTCTTTTCTCCCCAAGAGACAGCTAAGTCCTCTTTTAAACCTTCCCTCACCCTCACAGGAAGAAAACTCAATGACAGCACTTGGTGCCAACCTCTTTCAGAGCGGATTCTACTTCACTGATGCATATGATCTCCTTGCCCACCTCCAAGCCCTTGAGGGGAGGGCAGGGAGTACTATCATTCACCTTTGCAAACCTGGCAACTAGCATAGCCCTTGACATAATAAGCAATTAAGAAATGAAGCAAGTAAGAAATATTTGAGGGCAGGATGGAGGAAGGAAGGAAACAAAGAAAGAAGGAAGATTTTTAGTTCAGGATGCAGTTCACTTTAGAAAATGACAATAAGAGACTGCAGAGACAAATAAAGGTAGTTTTGCACAATTTCTAGACTTGTTACCAGCATTATGTTACCTTTGCTTCCTCCCTCCTCCTCTCTTTGAAAGCCAACTGCATTTTCAACGGTCTTAAATTATACAAAGAAGAAACTCCAATCTGGGTCTAACAGTAGAGAGGGCAGCGGGAAAGGGAAAGGTACAGGAGGACCGGCCTGGTCCCCTGAAATCACACCACATGGATGGCAGTGACTCTGGAGGCGGGATCAATGCAAATTACTATGCCTACTTCCCAGCACGCCTTAGCTCCAGTGTGGGTGTTACTTGTGTCCTAAATTTCAGAGACAGCACGGTCAATGTATAATCAAGGAGCTCTAGAGGCAGATTACCTGGCTCTGCATTCCTCTTCATCCATTCAGTAGCCATGGGACTCCCTGTTCCCATTTCCACATCTTCTCACTGGGGATGCTCTGGGCACATCTCACAGGTTGTTGTGAGGAATAAATAAGTGAATACACATAAAGCACTTAGACTGGTGCCTGGTGCCTGGCAAGGACTCAATGCATGTTAGCCGCAAATTTGGTACTTCCCAAAATAAATACACAAATAGAGGGATGAAAAAAGGATATTGAGGTAAACACATAATTTGGAGAGAAGGAAGGGTCACTATGTTTAGTATCATCATTCATCACAATCTCTGGAGATGAAGCAGCTACAATAATTCCTGGAAGTTGTAGATAGACTTGTTCGTGTCCTCTTGCTCTTCAGCTGCCTCCTACAGCTTTCAGAGGGGTCCATGGCCTGAAACTTTCTGCATTGTCCTTTTCTATATGCTAAATTATTTGTCAGGGTCCATTTTTTCCTATTGTTTTCATTCATCAGGAATGATGATGGTTGTGTTTATTTTGCGTAAAAGAAGCATACCCTCATAATCCTTTTGTTTCCTTCATTTTTTTAAATTGAGGTAACATCGGTTTATAATAGTATATAAATTTCAGGTGTACATCACTATAATTCGATTTCTGTGTAAACTGCGTCATGTTCACCACCCAAAGACTAATTACCATCCATCACCATATACATGTGCCCGGTCACCCCTTTCGCCCTCCTCCCTCTCCCCTTCCCCTCTGGTAACCACCAATCTAATGTAATTTTGCCTAAAAGAAGCATACCCTCATAATCTTTGATCACTGATGTCTTAAAAGACGGGTTAAAAAAAAAACCTTCTGACTCCATTTTTCCCTAAGACAATGGACAGAGGCGGAGCTGAAGCAATAAATTTTCTTGACCCTTTTATTGACCCAAATCCTGAGGGTATCTGTGTGTCCCTACTAGGATTTCAAAAACATCATGCAAGAAATTTCCTGGCAACTATAACTGTTTTAAGTTATAAACATAAGTCCTGATAAACGGTTCAGAAAGAGCCAGTTAATTGCAAAACAAAAACAGAACTCCCTTTAATGCCTGAAGGAACGGCTTGAGCAGTTTCCACGTATGGAGCAAATGTTTTAAAAAAGCAAAGATTTATCTCTCGCCTTTTTTTTTTACTAACCGACCACTAAGGACCCAGGAGGGCAGCAGTGGGTTAGAAACAGGGTTTCCGTGCCAGGTTCTGAAGAAAGCCTCTGCTGAGACAATTGGCCAGAGGCTTGTGCCCTGCTCTTCTAGCGTGCTCGGGCTACTTGCGTATGGAGTTCCACTAGATACAACAAACGTGCCCATGAAATCTGACATTGAGCCCTGATGCAATTTAATCTTCTGCAGAACGCCTCCGCTCTATTCTATTAGGTGAGAGAGAGCAAGAAAGTCTCTTTGGAATTCACGAAGAGTTAGTCCGGGATTTAACTATCCGGGACCAGGTTTTATTTCCAAGCCCTTCTCAAACAATTTAAGTCTCTCTGGGAAGAAGTCATATTTATCCTCATCCCGGAAGCATTCCCCATTCCTAGAAAAAGCCACGCATCCTCTTCTTTCTCGCCTTCTTTTCTTTCACGCCTGGTGACAATTTCAAAGAGCCTTGTAGTTGAGACACTTAAGTCAGTCTCCTTGCGGCGTCCCGGTTTATGTCCACGCTCCGAGCTGGAGCATCACTTCACTGCCTCCGCATCGCCTCTCGCCAAACCAACTCGGTCTAACTTTCCCTCCCAGACTCCAGCAGGGGCGCCCTCCCGGCACCCGACTGCGGCAGGCAGGAACGACCCTGGCCCCGAGACCCGAGAGCTGCGCGGTCAGCGCCGGGCGGAGCGCCCACCGGCTCCTCTCCCGCCGCCCGCGCTCGCAGCCCCGCGCTCTCGGAGCTCCGCCTCGCGCCTCGCCGCGCTCGCCCGCCTGCCCTGGGCTTCTCGCCTCTGGACACTTCGTCCCCGGACACCAAGCCATCCCAACTGCCGCCCTCTCCACCTCCGGGACAGCTCAGCTAAACCTTGTCCCCTCCTTTGCACACGCCTCCCACCATCCTTTCAACAGCCAGCACAACCCCCAGAGATAAGCCCAGCTCGGATCTTTCCAAACCGGCCGCCGAGGATCTCCATCACCACCAGCCGCCCTAATGCACGTTCATTCATGTTCATTCTTTCTCTCTCCCTCTTGCGCTCTCTCGAAAGACTCCTAAAAAGACAGGCCGATCCGCCTCAGTGGCACTCCCTCCTTTCATTCATCCCCTCCCACCACACACACACACACACACACACACACACACACACACACCCCAACCCAGACAGCCCACTCCACTTTTCAGACGCCCACCTCCTACATACTCCCCTCCCCTAAACAGACTTCCACCCACTCACCATCTGTAGCCTCCCTTCCGCCCCCCGCCCCGCCCGCCCGGCTCCCCCTCCCCAAGAAGCGGACCTGCACAGTGGGAGGCAGGGACCCCCGCCAGACGCTCGGGTCGTGCGCGCCGCTCTGACCTCTGCCCGCCCGGGAAACTAACAAAGGCGGTGCGCCAGCCCAGAGCCCGAGAGCGGCGAGCGGCGGCCGCGGGGCGGGCGAGCTTGGGCCGGGCCGGGCGAGCGCCGGGCGGGGGCTGCTCCGGAGTCGGGAGCAGCGGCGCCGGAGGACGCGGATCTCTCGCCGCGCGCGCCGCTCGGACGCCGCCGGCACCATGGGCTGCTGCACCGGGCGCTGCTCGCTCATCTGTCTCTGCGCGCTGCAGCTGGTGAGTCCCCGCGCGCCCCAACCCCGGACCGGCCCCTGACCTGGGACTGGCCTCCCCGGCTCCCTCCGCGGAGCCGCAGCTCCCGGCGCAGGGCGGGCGGGCGAGCCGGGCGCTCCCGCCGGTCCCCTCCCTCCCCTCTGACTCGCACTGCCCTCCCTCGCGGACACTCACCAGGTCGCCCCTGCCCTGCGGGAGGGCGCGGTCTCCCTCTTGGCCCCACGCACTGGGGTTCCCCGGGCCCCTGCCCGATGTCGCCACAAGGTCCAGGGGTGGCTGGCGAGACGCCGGGGGCGTGAGAGATTTCCCCGCCCCTCGGTTGGACGACTGGCTTTAGCACCCTCCGCATTCCTGCTGAAGTTTCACCGGAGCTTGTGGGCTCTTTCTTCTTGGGATGATTTCCAGTTACATTGTTTAATTAGAAGGTGCGTGTGAATGCCCAGCTTCTGAGGGGCCAGAAGCAGCTTCAACTCTTAGTTAAGAGTGAGGTGGTTCGTACCTTCAGCAGGTTGAAAGGTGGTGTGTCTTGGATTTCTAGGAAGGAGGTCTGGCTGTGTTTTTAAACAGAGTAATTCAGCCCCTGCCCATCCAATTTGTGTTTAAATTTTGCTGAAATGCTCCATGTTCAGACAGCGACAGACTGACAGCTGTCAACGAGGTAATGAAAGGCTCCGTTGGCTGGCGCGGTGGCTTGCCAAGGGAGTGCATGTAATGGGAAGTTAGACACCAGAGTGGAGAGTAAAAGGGCTTTCAGTGTGGAGCGAATGCTTTTCTTAACATAAGTCCTATTGGGACCTAGACCGGCCCTGTGGTCTATTCCATAGTCACTTGAGGTCAAGGCCATAGACCTTTTGTGTCAGACTTTTGTGTGTGAGAGATGAATAGACATCTCCCTTTTATTACACCTAAGACAGATTCTGCAGATGCTCTGCAAGCCTTCTTCTAAGTGTTGTTTGTTTTTTAAAGTCACAAACATTAGCATATTTTAGCTAGCAAGAGGAAAAAAGCTTTTCAGCGAACTTTACTGGGTAATGTCAACCCTTGTGAGACTCATTAACTGAGGAATAAAATAATGCTGTTTCTTTAATAGTTAGTCCTTGTTCCCATGAATGTTTTAAAAGGTTTCGCTGTTCTCTTGCCAGTGTTCCATTCTCCCATTAAAAACCTCACTTTAGATGTGCTCTTCATTGTTTACATAGTGTCCATAATTTATGTATTTATAGATTTTAAATCAGTGGCTACTTTTCTTTAAATCTATGGGACAGTCCCTTCTGTACTGTTAAATAGGACATATTTTATAGAGTTGTCTTGAAAAAATAATTTAAAAATCCACTTGAGCCTGAATGTTTTCTTTCACTAAGGAAAGAAGGCCAGAGGATAGTCTACATTTTGGTTATTAGAAATGGACATGGCTTATAAATTGGAAAAACTGAAAAAATATTTAGTCAACCCTTGAATATGCAAGATTGTGGATAGGCACACTGGATTGTATAATCTATAACGGCATAATTCTTTCTGTTTTACATGGAAATAATGTGTGGGGGTTTTTGATGCAGCAGAGTTATCAGTATAATTATAATTTCCTTAGTTGGTATTATAATATTTGTGATGATAATGTGTTTCGTGTTTCATCTGTCAGCCTGGAATGCTTCCATGTTCCACATACACCTTCTCAATTGATACAAATGTAACTTACTCTTCAAAGCTTACTCCCAAATTCCATCTTTATGAAGTCTTCTCTGGTGCTCCAGGTAAAGTCACTTACTTCTTTCTCTTTAATTGCGTAGCACTTTGCTTTTTCCTCTGTTACAGCACATTTCATTCTCTTAAATTATTTTGTTATTTACGCATATCTTTATCACTAGACTGTAGGTAACCTGAGGATAAGGATCAAACATTATTCATCTTTGCAGACCCTGCCAGTCCTTAGGAGAGCTCATAGTAGGAGCTGAAACATATTTGCTGAATTTATGATAGTAATTAGCATTTGCAATCCTTACAGGGTTTTTGCATAAACATGATTTCATTTCACTCCTGAAGTTATCCTCTGAGGAAGGCACCTATTTCACTAATTTGCAGATGAGGAAGGTGGTACTCATAGAGTTAAACAACTTTTCCAAATCAATAGCTTTTGGATGGTAGAGCCAGTGGGGCGATGTGATGTGATTATTAAACACTGAATAATTGGACCTCAGACAAAACAAAATATATATTTTTATATATATTACATTATTGTATAGTATATTATAAATATTATATATATAAAGGATGTGTAGCACTCGACAGTAATAATAATAAAATATGTAATTTTCTTTATTGTAAATTCTACATAGCCAGTTAATTCTGGCAGAATCCTTTTGTTGAATTTGATAAACTTTTGGTTCTGTAGTGCTGACATCAATGCTGGTTAATATTTTTATTTACTTCGAGGAGTACTAGGAAAGTAAATCAAGGAAGCCAGTATTGGAACTTCACTCCATCAATGACATAATGTTGGTTCACAACCTCGGGAACTTCCCCGAGTGAAATTCAAAACTGACCCCTGTACTCAGGAGGCAAGGAGAGACTGAAGAAAGAGGCAGACCACGCTAGATTGGTAGGTGGCAGGTTTAATAATAAGCAAGGGAACTAATATACCAAGTTTGTCTTGAGCTGCCGAAAGATGAGTAGATCTCCACAGCCACCTGCTAGAATCTTAAAAGTTTTTAGAGGCCTTAACAGGGTTCAGTCGTGTATACCGTCCAGATGTCTCAACAACGCATTGCTCTCTCAAGGCTGCATCCTTGAAACGGCTCCCGCTGTGGGAATGGTGGGCAGAACATACATTTCAAGGACAGGGGAAGGAGTGACATGCTTCCAGTTGCCCTGGTCCGGCTCGAGGGTCGACTGGGTCATGACCTCTCAATGACCCATGAGCAGATTCTTTGCTGAATTGGGTAATAGTTTTCAAACACTGGAAAATTATTTCCTCAATTTCTTCATGCTATTGACAATGTAATGGCATGGGACATGACAATGTAATGACATGACACATTTTAGGTTTAATGTGCGTTATTGCAAAAAAATTCTCCATTGCTTTCTTAAGTCTCGACAATCAACAAAACAATGTTACACTCTAATTTTTAGCATTTGCCAATTTTTTTGATATAAATACTCCCACTTTGGCCAATTTGAAATACATAGTATTTCCATCATACAGATAAAATAGGCGTAAATAACCTCAAAAGCAGAGAGAAAGTGAAACAGAGTAAAATAATTAGGAAGGGATGTGTTTTAAATATGTAGTACCCCTATTTTTAATATGATTTACTTAAATTTAAGTTTATGTTATTTAATTTTTAATAATGGCTGTGTTTAACAAGTGGCTTACAAAATCCTAAAAATTTAACTGACTCTCTGAGCTGGTATAAGTCTACTCCAGCATACCACTGGATAGGACTCCCAGATCTAGTGTTCTTTCCACTGAAGCCAGCTGTCTTTTTTTCTCTTTCATGTTGTTTTTCTGCTCCTGCCAGCTGTTGGAAGATGGAGCTTATGAAGCAGTAAATAAGTGTGGATGTTGAGAGGGGAATGGTATTTGTAGAACACATTTGCTGAGGAGAATCTACATGCTAACAACTAGAAGTAACTGTGTAGGTCATTAAAAGATGGCACATAAGTTCCTTCTAAAAGTTAAAGAAACAAATAAAAGGTTTTTATTATCTCATTCACATTTCCTTTGAACCACCCTCCGGAGTGAAGCATCAGATTGGGAATATCATGGGAGAGAATTTATCATTTTTAGGCTAGTGGATTTGGATGAATTTAGTTTGCAAAATCTCAGTCTTCTTTCTACTTTCTTCATTCCACTGCTCTGGCCTTCTCCCATCATTACTTTTTCTCTCTGCTTCTGCCCTCAAGCAAATTTGTGTGTTTGCCCCAGATTTTACATTCATGTTCTTAATTCTGTTAGATGAATTTAATGAGCAAGTGAAAAGCGTGAATAAATGCCCAGAGAAAACTGTGCAAAGTAAATCTTTTCTGAAAAAGCAATTCATTACAGTGTAACAGATTCATCAAGTCGTCCAAGAACTTTTAAATACGTTTTTGTAAGGATGCCTTTGGTTTTGCTTGTTTAAAAATAATGTGTATTCTGTTATCATATATGTGTAATCTAGAAATAAAAAAAACACCTGATCATATGCTTTTGGTAAATTATTTTTAATTGCCACATTTAAATGAGTTTTAGTTGCGTGTTTTTAAAGTCTAGAATTTACTCCACATGTAATTTCAGAGCCTTTTTCTGATAGCGGCCTCAGTGAAGTGTTGAACTTGGGTTGGCAGGAATTGTTCCCACAGAGCGTTAGACGTCTTCTCAGTGTCACAGAGGTCAGACTCCAAGACATGTTCAACAAAATTTTGTCCCTGGATGTTGTTATTACCAGGGATATTTATTGCACCCTATATCACTTTATGGAAAAGTGACAGCCATATTCCTATTAGGCCTAATAATCAGTGGAACCAAATTCAGAACTGTCACTTTATGTATCCATAGTAATGGAAACCTTTAGAAGATTGATAGAAAACAAGCAGTTTTTAACACATTGATTGGACGTATGTTTTTATTTTAGAGAACATCCTCTCAAATTAAAGAAAACTAGTAATTGTTTTTCTCACAGTGAAAACCAAGTTAACTTTGCCTACCACATTCAAACCACCTTGTGACCACCTTGGACACTGTAATGATGAGATAAAATGTGTTGAGAGGTGTCTGAATGTCTGAATGACGGTGCTGTAGTTGTGCTAATGTGTTTTTAAATTAAGTTTTGTGAAATGTAACATTCACCTGTCATAGATGTTTGGCAGTGGATGCAGAAATGCCTTTATTTTAACTACGTAGATATATTGATACTTTTGCTTTAACATGTTTTAAATTTTAATAGCTCTTTCTCTTCTCCTGTGAAATATAATTCTTAGTCATTCAGTTTTCATTACTTTTTCTGTATTAAATACTCTGGTTCATC